TATATATATATATATATATATATTGGCTTACCGTTCCCCGTTGTTCCGCTTGGATTTCTCACACCGCGCGTTGTGTGTCGAACGCACCCCCATTGTTGAGTGACGCATTTTAAGTGATGAAAAGTGGCCCAAGTAGCTCGCAGATAAGCGACGCCCGACGATAGCATACATGCGAAGTCCCTCTCGAGCGGCGATTCGCGTCCGTACGTGCTCCTTTGAGATTGTCCCGCCGGTAAACTTGCATTAATATAGAGTCCTGTACCAGTAGAGGCTCGAAAGATCGGAAAAAGAACAGAGAAAAAAAACACAAAAAGTACGAAATACGATGCTATACTTGCCCTGTATCACAGTGCATGGCATTTTATGACAGATTCGCGCGCTAAGACTAAGGCAAATTCGGTCTTCACGTTAAACCGCCAACGGAGAAGCAGCACGATGTTAGACGCGACGGTATTGATAATCGACGACACGGACAGCGTAACGGACAGTAACGCGCAGCAGCCGGTCTTAAGTAGAGACGTGACTCTAACCGCGGAGAGCACACTGATGATGACGATGAGGTCTCCATGGAAGGACGAGAGGGGGTCGGGAAACGACTTCAGCTCGTGCGACACCGAGGAAGACGTGAATGCGTTTCCTCGCACACCGTCTGCCGTCCGCAGGTCCGGCGGCTCCGTGAGGCGCAAGAGCAGCGTGTCGTCCGCCGGCCATTCGCGCGTCGACCGAAAGAACTCGATCGTCCTCAAGGAGGCCACGTCAGACGCGCTGACGAGCTCCGTCCAAAGAACCAATCGCGGCTCGCGGGCTAAATGGTCCACCATCGGCAAGAAGAAGCCTACGAAGTACCACTGGTCCGGTACGTTCTGCACCAAGAGGAAGGCGAGCCCGAGGAGCGTGCAGCGCATCAGGTCGCTCAACCTGTCGACCACGAGTCACGAGGACGATCCGAACGCCGAGAACGACCGGCTGCTGAATTATAATTACAATCTACTCGAGGACTTCGGCAAAAAGAGGAGCAAAGACGATGATATTTTCCTCTTGAACGAGTTCGATCCGCTGGAGAACGGGGACGACAGTGTCGGCTGCCGACCTTGCATCGACATTTGCGGACGCGACGAGACCGATTTCAAAGGCTGCTACGACGTTCAGCGCAGCAACGACCCATTGTCGACGACGTGGTTTGACCTTAATATAAATTTGAGACAAAGAGTGACGGATTACGCGGACGACGACGACAAGCAGGTTGTGGATGTGTGTGACGCCGACTCGCATACGAAGCTGCTCCAGCCAGAGAACACGTCCACATGGTACCCTCGATTCACGTCCACCGTCGACAATATTAACGAAAAGGAACGCGATGATGTTCGCGGTGCGAAGAAGTTCGTCGGCTCGACCACGAACAGCGGGTCGCGCAGCGGAGAAGCGACCGGCCGCACCGGAACGGAATCTGCCGTTCGCTCGCTGTATTACTGTTGCAAATTCTGGCGTTCTCTAATGACCCTCTTGAAAGACATTGTTTTATTTTTACTTCTGCCGGCGACGTATATCGTCTTTTTCATTTACGTACAAGGACAGAGGGCAAATGAGAAACCGATGTAACGAGACTTTTCGCGAGACAACTACCCGTGGCCCGAGTCCAAGGTTTGTGTTAATAATTGCCACTTGGAACTTGTCTCGTGTGAAACATTCAAACTTTAATTTAAGGGTTGGACCTGAGTTTTTTGGTTGAATGTTGTGGTATATCTGACATATCTGTAATCATGATTCGACTGAAAAAGTCACATTTAACTTTGAATTCAAGACTGAGTATCTCACTTGAGACAAATTTCGGGTAACAACTATTAATACGAATCCAAGAGTTTCAAGAAATGAACAAATTTAGAGACAAGTTTAAAGACACACACTGAACGTTGAAATATTTTAATCTTGTTTACTTTATGTTATAAATATTATTATTATTATTATTATATAGGTTTACGGTAGGGCAATATAATTGAATCGTGGTAGATTTTAACTTATACGCCCTTATCGTTGTGTGTAAATGTATCACACTGGTGTGAAACTGTCTTTTTTTTTTGTAGAGAATACTCTTAAGTATATTTAATTAGTTCTAATGAAAATATATTCCTTCGAGTCGAGCACTCGTATTCCTTTAGCTTGGCTGTATGATGCACGTTCGAAGTGTGCTCTCCTCCCCCTATACTAATTCTGTGTGTGCTGTAGTGATGAATGTACACATGTTTGATATATTCTGACTTCGTAAATGCAACTCCCTCACCCGCAAAACGCAGCACCTCGTCGTTCATCTCGAGAACGGTGTTTCTTGCGTAAACGCATCTCTAACGATAATACGACGCATTACCGAGATGTTATTCGCATGTTTAACGTATGGTAGTATTTTTAATCGTATCGCCATTATTTTATCAATATTATTAATAGCCGTTTATGTAAGCCATTGCGGCTACTCTCAACCGCGAATAGAACACTCGTCTAATTATATAAAATAGCGAATAAAGTGTCCCCTACGTGCCTATAAATACCGATACACTCTGAACAATTGCATTCTCTGCAATCGCACACCTGTAACAAGGATCTCTAATGTAATACCAGGAAAAAACCTTGCAGATTTGAGGCGGAAAAGAACAAAGTTTGAGTCACCCTACCTGAGGAGTTTCTCGTTGCGTAGACGTCTTATAGAGAGAAAGCTATTTTCCGACGGTACGATAAAAAACTATTCGATTAACAATTCTATCAAATAGTCTCAGAGAAGCAGCTTCTTTTAATTAATGTGCACCATATTACGTACTAATGATATGCGTCACGTATATATTCTTTCCGTCATCGAAGTCACACGCATCTCTCGATATCTCAGAGATTACGTATCCCCAAAAATAATATTTCTTAACGATCCGACATCTCCCGATGGGAGGTCGTCGTCGTCGACATGTAGCGTAAGAATTTCCCTCTCATTCGCTCGCGAATAGATTTTAGCACGAAGCGTCAGAGAGTGATTCAATGAAATTGACTATTGAATTAGTCCTGCTGTCACAGAAAACCTGCATATTCAACGAACGTTGAACCGAGCCGTCGAACTTGTTGTTCTTTTTTTCTTAAATTGTGCAATCTGATCGATATCGATGCGAATTGTCATCACATAGCAAACATACATAGAAGCAGCAACAACGCGTTCTCTGATATCCCGGGAGGGTAAGCTCAACATTTTTCTTTTCTTTCACGGCTGTTGCATATCCTCGTGTACATTAGTCATGTTTTAAAGTGTTCCCGTTGAACGAAGAACGATTCTGTACATATCATGTGTGCCATACGAGAACTGTAAATTCGAACGGGCGTAAAGATTGCTGATAGTGCTGTATACAAGTACGATTTGTGTGCATATCATCCTCGGAAGCGATCAGCGCGTCTTTTCATGTATGTATGCAAATCGAATTCTTGTTAATAAATGTTATTTTTGTGGATTCTAACAGTATCTCTCTTCACGCGTTCAGCATAATTACATGTAACCACATTTTTCATAGGTGAATTACCGAACAACGAGGCTTGTGCTCGGCTTAAGCTTCCATTTATCTAATAGCCTATTTGTAATTTTTAATTGTGTACTCACACGCGTACACGTGCAAGTGGTTCCCACAACCCTCGGCTCCAAGCGCCTCGAGACGACTGCTGAAAAACATATGCAGTTAGAAAAGAAAAAAAATACTACACTGATACGAACGCATCTCGAAACGTTGCCGTTAACTCGCGCGCGACTCTGCCTTAACTCGGAAAAACCGAAACTAGCGGTTTTATTAATGTCGATGGAAGTAATTTAGACCTAAGTCGCTTCTTCCTCACCGTCATGCCTCCGCTAACTTTAGATCGTCGTTCGATTAACCCTTCGTTGGCACATTTATTTTTTGTTGCTTAGTTTGGCACATTGGATTTGTGAGGCCCAATAACCTTTTTAATACATGCCCTTATAATATTTATAAATGTGCTTTTTCTCCAGTGTGCAGATATTACAGTTTTGAGTGTACAAAAATGTAAATTTGAAAAGTACATAACTGAAAAATGAATAACTGAAAGTATAAAAGGGAGATAATGTATTGATTCTATAGACGTATGTGCAAATTAGACAAATTATTAGACAAAAACTCCATTATTTTTTACTTATTAGACAAAAACTCCATTATTTTTTACTTATCCGTAAGATTGCATTATATCTTCAATTATAATTTTTATAAAATTTTTTATATTTAGGATTTATAAGTCCATTCTCAATAAAAATTTTATTTATGTAAAACACGGTTTTTTTTCGCGAGCTATTCTTATTGACAGCATCATTTGATAGTATATGTTATTGTGTTCACATTTATTGTTTTAGTAATTGCTTTTTTATTGTAACTTTTTTAATTTTTGTTTGTTATATAAATTGAATGTTTTTTTAAATCATTTATCGATTGTAAGAGCTTACTTGAGCTTCGTTTTTCAATTAATTATAAAAAAATTAAATTAATAACATTAATTTTTTATTAGATCGGCGTAAGGGGATACATACAAAATACTAAAATATTAAAAAGAAGAATAAATAAAGATATATTTAAATAGAAATCATAATTTTTAATTTTTTCATTCTTTTTCATCAAGTCTAATCATTTGCACATATCTGTACACAGAAAGAAGTAAATAATTCGGCATGCTTCAAGAAAAAAATTCTACGTTTGTATATGCAATACAATTCCAGAATTAACGGTTATAGAATCTGAATTTTCTGCTCGGGTCAATTTGTCCCACGAGTGCCAAACTAGGGTTAACATTGCAATCTCTCTCCGGACTTCATCGTCATGCTGGCAGTTTGCTTTCTGCAGATCGACATCAGGATCATTTATTCTAGTTCGTCAGCCTAAACCGACCATGGCGATGAATATCGGATGATGGATGGTGTGTCTAGCCGCTAGTCGCGTTCTAAGGAGAGACAACCGTCAAAGGCTGAAACACACAGAATACAATACCGAGATAAAAAGCAAAGGAACCGGCTCCGTTCGCTCGCGATACGTGTCGTCTCGGCGTGTCCGACTTAATCCTTAACTATGCTAAATCGATAATCTAATCATGCTCTTGGGTTGACGGGTGTGCGTGTTATCTGTTGCAGCGTATGCCCAAAAGTGGGAGCAACTGTTAATACAGCAGCGTGACACTCTGAACAACGCGCTCGACCAAGTGAGCCAGTTCCGCGGGCAGCTCTTGCAGGAGGAGCAAATCAGCCAGAAGATGACCCGAACGCGCAACATTACGCGGTACAATTAAGGGATGATGATGATGATGATGATGCTTCTTAAGGCGAGCATGCGAGGAAAAGGAAGAGAGAAAAAGAATAGAAAAGACACGCGAAAAAAAAACACACAAAACAAAAGTATAACGATTATCTCTCTCACCGGTGAGAAGGCCGCTTCTTCATACTTCTTCTTCTTATTGTGTATCGACCGTTGATCGCGGGGCCGCGAGAGAAGCAGACGCGCGCATACACAACACACTAGTAGTGCGACACACGATAGTCATACATTATATATAATATATGTAAGAACGCGAAGAAACGTATAACGCGGAACCTCTTGCCTTCTTCGAAATTGCTGCGAGACTAGATCGACGTCGACGAGAGATACGCTCTCTCTTGAGGGAGAGGAAGAAAGGAGGAGAGAGAAAGAGAGAGAAAGAAAATGAAACGAGAGCGAGAAGAGCTCGACTCTCGAGAAACTTATCCCTTTAGCGCGATTCTGTATTATACATAACGATTCTACGTAGCGAAATGATGAGGAGAGAGAAGATTTCCGCAAGAAGAAGAAGAGGAGAGAGAGAGAGAGAGAGAGAGAGAGAGAGAGAGAGAGAGAGGTTGTAATAGAGAAACCGGCGTATCTCTGTGTCGCATATTTTTAATTGTTTTGCCGTTATTTTCATTACGCCCGTCAATTTACGACACAAACAAACCGAAGCGGCCGGGCGTGACGGTGATAACAAATCCGCGAGAGTGAAATCAAGCGTGTTGGAGTCTTTTCCGTATATATATATATATATTTTTTTTTAGTTTTCGAAACCGTAGGAAATTTTAACAAGTGCATAGGAGGATCGTCCGTAAAGATACAGTATACATACATATACACGTACACACACGCGAGCGTGCATTTTATTTAGCAACAAAGTCTCGGAACGTTTACACGATTACACGTTTCTCAAGCGACTTCTCGTGTGTTTTACCACGAAATTTCGAGCCGTCAAACGCAATACGTCGATACGTACTCCCGTGTGTACCATTTGTCTGTCTTCGAAGATGCAGAGCATACCACAGACAATGGATGATGCGTTAAGCTGCGAGATCAGATGAACACTCGTTTTTTAGGCTATATAGACCGCTAGATGTATTATTATACGAGGGACCCACGATGTGTACGATCGGATGAAGGAAACAGAAAAAAAGCCTTAGTAAGCTGATTCGCCAGGTGAAAAAGAAATATATACATCACGGCGATACTTTATACATATATTCATACACCTAGTTCATCGCGAGCAAACGCATATCCCACACATACACACACACACATACATATATGCGTACACACACGCGTAGTGATCGACATTCGTAAACCAAATAACGACTGATTTCGAGAAAAAAAAAGAGATGTAACTTTTAGCTCGTAAGAACGAAACTGCACAGCGGCGTTTACCCAATCCCGATGTTTAAGTTTCTTAGTATTAATAACATCGACGGCATCAAACGGTCCACTTTTCTCTCTTACGTTATTACAAATATTGAGATTAAAATCTTCATTTGGTTTGTCAACGAATACTCCTGTGTTTTCTTCCTCACTCTATTCTGAATCGCCGATAGTAACGTACGCGTAAGTGTTTTTCCAACATAAGCTTTACACTGCGGACACGTCCAACGGTATACCGTCGATTTTCATGATTATAGCAGCTAGCCGGGGTAAAAGGTTCACGATCTTTTCACGCTCTATGGACGTTGCTTTTCTTTTGATAAGCGAAGTCGAGGACCCTACTATATAAGATAAGAACTAATGAATCTCCATCCTGTCTCGTGTGTCCGATCTTCGTGTTCTCTAAAGTATGCATCGCGGCATGATCGACGGTGGACACGTTATCCGAAGTTTCGTATAAAGAGAACGAGTACTATCTCGGTGGGAAAAGCATAGAGCTCCTTCAACAGGTCGCAGGAAGTCGAATTAGCAGTTATAATCGGCGCGTACAAATTTAAAGATGCGATAGATCGTCGAGATACTTCCTTAATAGTAACTGTATTTCTCGGTATTCGTTATAATTTGATATAAAACATTTATCGCACCTTGTAATTCAAGGAGATCGAAGGCTAATTCGCCTTTCCACGATCCGACGAAGGCCGGTGCGTCGTGTCTCGTGAGAAAGACGCGTGTCACCGTGCTGATCGCACGCGGAAATCTATCACACCCCGGGATCGCGCCGGACCATAGAGAGTTAAGAGGATCAACGATAAAACCACACGACTCGTTTCTCTTGAATACTTGGTGCACCGAATCCATTCCTGTGTACTGCGAGATCCGCGGGCTCACGGATTTAACAATCATTACCGCGCGTACGCTCGATTTTGTAAACGTAATAGTATTGTTCTAATTACACTTAAATCGAGAGTTACTCGATCTTGAGACTTAGAGATAAAATAGCGGAGTAACAATAACGACGGAGAGAAAGAGAGAGAGAGAGGGAGAGAGAGTTAGGAGTAATGGAATATTGACATTTCTGTTGACGAGAGAGAGGTGTACGATTTTTATATAAATATATAAAATACTCATATATATAGAAAGAAAGAGTGAGAGAAAGAGAGAGAGAGAGAGAGAGAGGAGTTGTAAAGACACATTGTTTAAAGAGAAAATTACTGTTAAATCAAAAAGTAAACTTATAGTTACACCCGTCCCGCCGGGCGCATTTTAATTTAATTTAATATATATTTATCGAGTATTTATTATAACCGGAGGCTGCGCGATTGTGCTACATTTATACCGCTTCGCACGTCGGAGACAGTCGGCGCTCTTTTCGTTATATATCCGACGACGCAACATTTCCCGATATATCCGTTAAAAAGTGTGTGTGTCTTGCCGTCATATTACCGAACATTTCGAACGTTCTCGTTCCGATAGCGTTCTCGGCGATCGCTGCTCTAGCTCAGGCGTCTCAGTAGTTCCGACTTCAACGAGCCGATTATAATTGGCGGAGCTTCGTTTTTTTTTTTTTTAAGAATCACACAAAGGAAGAGAAAAAGGAAACTCGCATTTCACCGTCTCGAAAATAGTATTTTTTAATAAGTATAGTGGCGTAATAGAGATGAAGCTTAACGATCGAAAGATGTTAATATACTTCTTATTTTTTTATAATCGAATAATTTATGCGGAAAGACAAGGCGAATCAAACGACGCGTACCCTCACATCCTCCCCCGAGCCCCTCTATCGTACTTAGTAGTCGACCTCTGGAACTACTCTAATTCGATGTGCACAGAAAGATTTTGGATACGAGAGGTTTCACGTTGTTGCTTTATGAATGAAATAAATCAAATTGAGAAAAAAGAAGACTAAATTGAAAATCAATATATCCCCGCTCCTCATCTTTATTAACAAACATTTTTTAATGTTTCGTTGATTCCAGATTTTGGAATTACCGCAGTAAGTCTTCGAAAAGAGGAGAAAACATATTATAAAAATAAATACTACAAGTTTCTCCTGTATCCGATTTTTCATTTTGAAATAATTTACGTTTGAAATAGTATTCGACACGATATCGTGGCAAAAAAATAGATTAATAATAAAATAATAAAACTCAGACAAGTGATTTAATTCTGTAATATGGTATACGTGATGTTATATTTTTAATCGTAATTTTTAAATAATAAAAAAAACGCATTTCCAATTCTAAAATTTGAATTAGGATCATCATCAGAGTGGGAAGGATCATCGAGTGTGCGTAATTACGAGAAGACATACAACCATCGCACATGTTTAATCGCACATAGATACAGACAGACAGGTAGGCATTATTAACTTTACTCGTACTCGGTAGCTGCGCAAGACAATGATTACCAGAAATGCATGTGTAAACGGCATAAGTTGTGAAGAGGCAACGTGCGAAACGTGACCGAGCGCGAGCACGGAGAATTTTTCGTTTCTTTTTTTTTTATCCACGTCGAACAAGATACACAGTCAGCCGCGAACGAGCTTCTCGCGAGAAATCTCGAGACCGAGACTTCTCCGCCTCGTCGTATGGCGACGATGACGATTTTTCGCTACTGTACACAGTAAAAAATTGTGTCAAATTTAACACATTTTACATGCTCAAAAGGATCCACACGAATTTTTTGTGTTAATTTAACACAAGGTGAATATATTGAAAAATAACAGAAATATTTTGTTAAAAATTAATACAAAATTATATAATATCCGTAATATGTTAATCGACACTGTTAATCTGACACTAAATATGTGTTATTTCAACACTTACACATGTGGAATATCGACTCAACAAAAAATAACGAGAGATGACACATTATGTTAAACGTACGCGGGTATGTTAAAAATCTAATACAAAAATCTTAACAATAATCAATTTGACATAAATAAAATAATTTTTACTGTATACAGAGAACGTTCGCGACTGACGTCGGTTGAACAAAATTCAATGTTTTCGCGGAGCACCTCGTGCATTTTGCAACACAAGCCGCTCCGACCGGTGGACCGTCTATTTCCGCCAAATTCTCTTGACAAGACTCGATCCCTTACCGCCCGCGTAACGTGTCACATATACATATATAGCGCAAGCCACGTGTTGTTCTACCATTTCATCGTTACACATTGTGTTACACTATGTATATGTATATTACGATTAAAACACCGTCTCTTTTCTGTACGCAAATGTCTTTTTTTTCAACCGTAAAGGAAGGGAAAGAAAAGGGGGGACGTGCGGCAAGAAAATAAGAGAATGTACTACATGCCGTGCGTTTGGCAGCTAATTAACTCCATTTTTTTTTTATAAGTCTTACGATAACGCTACGTCCTACGAAACGATATCGTTCTCTCACAAGAGGTGGCTGTACAGATTAGAGAGGCTCGTGTGTCTACGTCGTCTTCGTCGCTGATACTTCTGAACACGAGGCAGCCGCACACGAGCATACATACCGAGAAACCGCGTAAGGGGAAAAAAATCCGCGATTATCTTCTCTAACCGTATATAAACGTGGAATGGATTCCGAAGGCGTGTCTTACACGACTAACAAGATTTACATATATATAATACGTACATATATATGTATGTATTATGTATGTATATATGTGTGTATATATATATATATATATATATATATATATATATATATGTACAGTCACTGACTGGCGCGTGGAATATCGCGAGCCCGTTTTCAAATCGCACCTCCGCCCTTCAATCGGTCATCTGTTTTTCATGGTCCATACATTAATAGGCGGCTTTTGTGCACAAGGAACCGAGCGCTCTTGGTTGCGTCGGGTAATCAATAATAAACGTGCTTCCAAAGTCGTCCATAGAGAAAAGAAACTTGCAGTGTTCCCTATTACAGAAGTAATGCACGTCAGAACGGTGTGAATTCTTGGAGATTTATTAGATAAAGGTTGGATCTTAATCTCAAAAGCTGATACTTAATCAAAATTTTACTTCAACTGCTAAGAAATGAATAAAAAAATACTAATATACGTTAATGCGTAATTATGCGTTTCATAATATGATAATTTATAGAGGAACAAGAGTACAGTAGATAAGTGCCAATGACAGATCGGTTGATCGTTGCCTCCACATTAATGCTGGAAGGCGCTCGATTCCTTTAAATATCTGCAAGGCACGTGAATTTCCGGCATGGCCTTGTGTACGCGCCACACAATCACACCGAGGTGCAATCTTCATCTCAAATAAAAAAAAACTCAATATCAGGCGACCACAATGCGACGCTGAAGCGTGACTATACGTTTACTACAATGCGACGCTACAGTTCAGAGACAAACAGTTTAACATTTATTTTACAAGTGGACAATTCTCAGGGATTCCAAATACATTTTCGTTTCTTTCATCTTCTCCTTCTTCTTCTCTTTTACGCGTAGAAAAATTTGCACGTGAGTTTTCGGACACAACGTGTTCATCCATCTTTGTTTTGTTGCGCTACATATTTTTCAGAAGAACTGCATATATAATATATAATAATGTCCTACGCAGTTACGTAATATAAAAGGCTTTCAAGGCACAAACTCGGGCGGCACGCAATTAAATCCGGTGCTCCGTTAATCTTCGCGATCGTCGAATTTCAGGGTCAAATTATCGCGAATAACGCTACTTCGTGGTAAGGAAGTATGTATACACGCATTTCTCTCTCTCTCTCTTTCTCTCTTCCGGTCGTATCAAAATTCAAGTTCCGAAGGATCAGGCGAGAGGTTTGCGAACGGGCTTCGCGAATAATCCGTGAGACGGTTCGGTTAGCGAGAAAACGAGGACTGGTGAGAACGCGAAATACAAGCTGTAAATATAATCTTGCACTAGGGAGAAACTATCCATACACGTGCGTCTTACAGTAAAGCATCGTGCTCGCTTCGACGACGACAAAAGCTCGACAGAAAGATCTCGCTCAATTCCATTATAATCGGTTCTAATCGCAGTCGCCGCCGTTCGATGATTTTGTGCGAACATGTATCGTGATTAGGGCCGGTTTTCCTTCCTTCGAAGGCTTCGATATTCGGATTTCGAATACCTCATATCTGGATAGCCTCGATGTTCAGTTCTCAAACTTGAAAAATATTGTAACTCCGAAACATCGAAATCGTAAGATTTTTAAATGTAAAAAAAAACCCGTCGTTTAAAGCCGCTGTCTAATCTTAATGACCGTCGGTTTGGTCAGACTTGTCAATAACGTGTGGGAACAGGTGGACCTAACGATTACTCATTCCCCTGTTATTCATCGCACCGTTGCTAGGCAATAACACGAATCACGAAGATTCCAGCCTTCGAAGCTTCGGCTTACTAAAATTCGAAAGTTTGAAGTTTCTTTCGAATCCTCCTCCGAAACTTCGGAATTATCGAAGATCAATAGCCCTAATCGTGATACGGCATAATCGCTATTAACGTGAGACTTCTAACATCCGTGTACCCACATCCGGGTGGTGAGAGAACGCCTTGGGGCATCAAATTGGATCGCACTTCACGGAAGAAGGAGCCAAAATTCGCGAGAACTTCGTTCGAGGAATAGACGCACAATGTATCCTTTACCGTCGCTCGCTCTTTGTTTCGTAATACAATACGGGAATAGATCGAGCGGCTCCTCCGTGCGCAGAATCCGATCCAATTCGTATATCATTGTATCGAACAATAAATTTCCTTAGCTCTAGGACGGGCTGAACGTATCTTATAATTGTTTGTATTTTTTTTTTGCTACCCTTTTCGTATAGTCGTCGATTATTGTCCCCATCGCTCGTACAGTTAGCGCAAACGATTGCACCACACCGTGCAATATGGAATTAAGGTAACATTTCTCGTCGACGTTCGTGTCCGTACTATATTATAATATCCTGTTTGTTCGCGCGACGACGCTTCAAATCGATCTCTCGTCGCGGATTTCCACGTTTCTCCGTGTGATCCCCAGATCGTAAGTTACGATATCTTATTTCTACCATACTTTCTCTCGTTTATATATCACACTTAATCGCGTAATTATCAGCCAAATACCTTAGTCCCCTAGTAGTAGTGTTTACTTTCTTTTGCTTCTGCTCGCACTTTTATTCGGTTTTATCGCGGAATCGCGGAATTTGCAAAAAGACCACGTTCCTTTCGTACTTTCATTCGTTTTACCGCAATAGGTATATCTGCCAAATTGAATAGCAAAGAATCACAGCTAGGCACATCGGCAAACAAGTGACAGCAAACGGCAGTGAAAAAAGATGGTATTGTCTAGATAATTAGGCACTGTTCGTATATATATAAATATATCTCACGGCTAAGACACTCAAAGAGACATCGATGTACTTTCGGATTACATGATCTCAGACTTTGGGAACGTGCTTAGATACAATGAAAGAATCGTAACTCTCTGATAAAATATCACAGTGCGTAAATTAAAGATATTATGCGAATATTCCGTTCCTTTTGGCACTCTTTTTCCTTTCTTCGATAGGAAACTAACAAACGTAACTTTAAAGATCATGTCCAATCGATCGGTGAACGTAAATTTTAGTCGAGCAATGATGCGTGATGAACTTACTAATTAATGACGTTCTTCCTTTTTATTTGCACATTTTGCGCGCGACATTCCCGTACGGAAGGTGCACGGCGCGCGTGTGAAATTTAATTTACACTCTCGCAACACACGAGACTTATCTAATCGTGTAGCCTTTTAATCGAGTTCTGTTCACAGGGATCGGTAATGTGCGGAAAGCGTCGATTCGGTGCGTGACACAATATAATCGAGAATACAATGCGATATAATCCTACACGGAGATGGAGAAAGCAATGAACCACTCATCGGACGCAGTTAACTTCCGGCAGTCAACGTGAGATCAGCGTCCAATGTCTTACATTGAAATATAAACGCGCGATTTATCGATAAAACCCCGCGCTTACATTGTGAGTTCTTTCGCGCTAAGATTTCAATAGATCTAGATCTAAACATATTTTAAAGCGCACACGTAACTTAAGAGACATAATCGTTAGATTAAACTCGATCGAGAAGACATAGAATATATATATATACCTGTACATATATATATATTCTTTCTCGCCCTGTAATTCGGAGAATTTACTCTCTTTGTCAAGAAGCTGTATTCGTTATATATATATATTTTTTTTTACCGTCGTTACAATAAATCTTAAAATCGTCTAATAACCGATTTTGTGGTACAACACCGTATGTGTGATAAATACCTTCCACAATAAGTCTCCATATAAAATAAAGTATTACGACTGATGCATAGATTTGAAAAATATTTTTTTATACATATACCATTATTACATATACCATTTTATGTAATAATTCCTTCCCTATGTAACAGCCAAAGAGTTTTACAGCATCTAAGTGTATGTTTCTGTGATCACGATAATTCCCAGAGATCGCTGTTAAATATTTCACATGTAATTTTTTGCAATTCCTTGGAACGCTTTTCTTGGAATAATTACAACTTGTTTAGCCCCGTTTTTTCGTCGCCGTCTTATTCTCGTAAGATTTGATTTCAATATCGACACAACATATAAAGTAACTCACAGGCGCACAAATCCGTGTGTGATCGAACGTGTACGTGCACGTGGGTCTTCGTAACTCTTGCATCTTTGCGGCCAGTCTTATTAAACAGGTCAGAATGCATCGAGCAACTAATTGTCTTTGTCTCTTAACGAACCATTCTGTGGAGGGCGCGTATATTATTTATGACACAGAACTAATGGCATTGTGAGGCGAGCCCATTTGTGTTAACACTTTGTCTAACCATTGCAAGGGTCCGTGCAAATGTGCTTCGATCCAGCAAGGGGTAGACGTAACGTCCTGCCGGTGATACTCAGCGCCCCATCCTTTCACAAACGACATCCTGCAAGTAAGAGGAGCGCACACGTACAATACGAGATACATCGTCGCGAGAGTCGGCTTAGCCAGGCGCGGACATAACGTCTAAGTTCAGTTACCTGATCGTGCACATCTTTGTTAATTCGTAGACAGCCTCGAAGCCATGATTCACACTTTGCGAAAGCAGTTGGGCGAACTCCTGATTGTTGAATATTTTCAACGAACATCCCGGCGGAATCTTGCAAACTGTGCTGGGATGAAAACCGTGATGATGATTACAGTTCCTAGATTGTACGAATATGGCCGAGTCGGACAGGCACTCGGCATAGACCTCTCCCCCGACGTAGTACAGATGCACTCCTTTGCCTATGTGTCGCCTTGTGTTCTCTATCGTGGAATTGCGATTCACATTGGATAACTGCCCCAGGCAGAAGCGGTCGGAGTTGTTGCTCGGGTTTGTGAAACCGTCGACGATCACGGAGTGCGACTGACAGTGAAATACCTCGCCCACCCGGCAGTTGAGTTCGTAGTAGGCGATTGAGGCCCAATAAAGGGGTTCTTGGTAACACACAGGTGCCACCTCGGTGGGTGCACTCGTGTCCATCGGTACTGAATCCGATGGTGGCGATTGGCCGGTTTGCGAACCGTCTTCGGGAGGAGAGTAGGCCGGTGGTGGCGTTTCCGGCAAGCCGTTCGTGCCGTATGGGCTCTGTGGATTCGGCAATGTCGCACTTCCCGGACTTGGCACAGAACCGACGGAGGACATGGGAGACGTGGGATTCACACCGCCGGTCGAAGAGGCATTAAAGCCGCTCGACGAGTAGGATACGTTGTGTGGCATCGTGGGTTCCGCTAACTGTTGGAACGGCAGTAGAGAATGACCAGGTGCGTACTCCGAATGTCTAGGAACCAGCACAGGCGGCAGCACCGGACTCTCCACCCTCTTGTAGTGATAGGGATTGATGCAGACTTCCTTCTGCTTAGCGGAGAACGGATACTGGCACAATTCGAGTGGCTTCAATTCGTGATGTGACTGCAGGTCCGGCCATCGCCATACCCTGCAGTATATCACGTGCGGCAGGCCCTTGCGGTGAGAAACTTGCAATCTGCCATCCAAGCTTCTGGGTATCGTCACGCACTTGCTTGGTGTACCCGGACAGCTCAGCGCACGCTCTAATTCTTCGATCGCGCCTTTGCGTTTCTTTAACTTCTTCACCAGCGAATCCACCGCTTTCTTGGCCCAATTCTCCTCCTCGTCGCCTTGTTTCCAGCCGAGCAGCTTTTTCACAGCGGGACTCGTGAAAGAGAACAAGCTGTTCAGCGAAGACATAGGCCCTGAGCTAGAAGATCCTTCCTCATCATCCATATTTCAAGAGTTGAAGTTGATTACAAGTGGCGCATAATATCCTTGACCGCGTTGATGAAAGATGATTTTCCTCGTCAGAACACACAATCTGAAATTACATAAACGATGCTTACTTAATTTTTTGGTTAAATCTTGAAAAATTGAAGAATTCCTCTTTAACTTTAAAGAGTTATCAAAGTTGCAAAAGAGGCTAATAAGAGCTAGATAATATCTGTCAATTTTTATACCTGAAACAAATATATCTATATTTTCACTGAAAAAAAGGAGAAAAGTGAGACTATGTTTGTGAAAATATGTTTTATCGCACAAAATATATCTGTTATATAATTGACTCTTATTGTTAACGACGAGCTTTGTAAGCATAAACATTGCTATATGTTTTTCATTCACGAACTAAATTGTCTTGAAACACTGTAATGTTTCCTTCAGCTTAGTTTCATTTCGAGTTGTAACTGTCTACTATCTATCATGAGCTATTTTAATTTATTGACTTGTATTTTGGTCTCATGGTGTTCGGTATTTGAATTTTTATTTATTCACGTTTGGTTTTCAGGGTTTGACTTGAATTACTATACATCTTCATTTATATTCTTTGGTGCTTCTATATTTTTTGTACATTATATGTTCGAATATACTATTGTATCCGACACACAACTGATGTTTTTCCCTACCATGGCTAAATTTTACAATTTGGACAGAAAATTATGCATCCCTGATAACTGGGTGTTGAATCACTCATTTGTTTAATATCACGTGTATTATGTTATAATATTGCGAGATATTCTTTTCGTAAGTCTTGTCTACATTAAAAATGGTCCAAAGTAGGGTCGAAACGTCTGTTTAATGTAACTTTATTAGCCTGATGGTTTACTATTTATAAAAAATAGCTTCTTATATTTTCTATATTAATTATTGTAATTCTTAGATTCTACTGCTTCAATGTCTTTGAGTGTTTTACTTTCGAATTTTATGTTTATGATTCAACAGTAAAAAGATAATTCAACGGAGAGAAAGTTTCTATGAATGTACTTTCTTCCCGACGGATTATTGATTTATATATACTGGTTCACAAATACAAACGATTGTTTAGAAAATCTTCGTCTCACTTTCCAGAAAAAATTCCACCTCCGTCGATAAAATTTCCCCGGAAACAAAGGTTTTTAGTGCTTTCTGTGCACACGGTGGCAACAACATTAGACAAAACGTGAATCGAGGCTCGCGTCGCCGTTCGCCAATCCGAATTTTTGCGATGCTATTTTTACAGGAATATGCGAGTTTTGGCATGTCTCCTCCCACCGCTACGTCAAAAGTCAGTGGACAAAGAACAAAATCCCATAAATATTGGAAGCCGTTTTACGAGCGAACTTGGCAAATTTCGAGCGGGAAATTTCCCGCGCGTCAACGGCCCGGACACAGCCGGTCACTTTGTTCGCGCAAATTGAGCGGAATCTCGGAGGTTCCTCTCGATTTCGACGCTACAACGTTTCAACCGAAGGCAAACTTCGTCTCGCAGCCTCGACGAGACGGACGCGGGACTCGCACCACTCTCGCGAACGCACCTCATGCGTCGACCATACCGATTACCGATGCTGCTCCGTCCGGTGTTGCACACGTTGCACGCGCGAAGTGTCGCAGAGTGCAACGAAATTTTTGACGGAAGCCTCGTCTCACTCAAGAGGCGACCCGACGGATCCGAGCGTGTTACGTCGTTGTGTCGAGGTTAATTATGCTACGGGGCAGGCGCTCTCGTCGGCCAGCCCGTCGGCCGCGGTAAAAAAAAGCACGAGGCACCGGAAGCGCACAGCAGCAGCAGCACACACAGCTACACCCTTCCTCGAATCGACACGCGAATCGACCACCGTCGCCGCCCGCCTCGCCGATACGCGCTTTCATTACGGGGCTTACTCGTTCACTTACGCGCGGCTCCCTGGCGATTCAGCATTGTTTTTGCCACGGTCTCTCCCACTCCAGCGCGCCTATCACCCTCGACGCCACGCTCTCGCCATTACGACCTCTCTCTCTCTCTCTCTCGTTCGCCCAAGCAAAAAGCGCCCGCGGGGTTATCGATTGCGCTGTTCGACTGGCAGCACAGAGCACGGGGTGCTCGCAAACGACAATTCCGGCGAATGCGATGACGGGGCGATGATCCGCCCTGAGTTCGGTTTCACAGAGCGCGCCGCCGTCCCTCGCTGGCGCCGCTCTACACGGTCTTTCTTTCTTTCTTTCTTTCTCTCTCTTCCGCACTCCTCTTTTTGCTCGGCCAACCGACCCTCGGTGACGACGATGATGACGACGACAACCACGGAGCCGAGGACTGGAAACACGACGAACGACTATGCCGTTAACGACCACCACTTCGCTGTCGGCGAACGACGCACTCCGCAAACGACGGCACACACTCCGCGGTGGGACACTCCGCTCTCCCACAGGGGCTACGTTGCTTCCGAACGATACGAACACAAGGGATCCCTTGGGCCGTTCTCCTCGCGTGCGCTCTGCTACTTGACGAATGTTTACTCGGCGGATTACGCTGCGCGCGATGCGCTCCGCTGCGCCGCCCACATGCGAAACTCACTAGGAGTAGTTAGGGCGACCTCGTCGGAACGACGCGGCTGGACCCGTCGCGCTTTTCTCCCTGCGAACGTGGACCAATCGTGCGCCGCCGCAGCGCCTTGCGAATTGCGATTCTGCGCAACGGCGGATCAGGTGCAGCGTTGTACAGAAGGAACAGGTGCACGCGATTGGTGTATGTCGGCTCCCAACGGCCCAATGGGACGCCAGTTCTCATTGAGTGGACCAATCCAGTTAACGCGTACGAAATACGAATGTATCAGTGATATATCAGATCTTTAACAATACCGTCTTTCAGGTACTGTAAAGTGTGTTCCGGTATTAATAATTAAGCATTTAAATTTATAAAATACGTAATACAAACTTAGATTTGCAGTAGTAGTGATGAATATCGGGACGCACTTTAACGTATCTGAGAGACGGCGTTGCTAAAACTCCCTATTGTTGACACAATGTTGCGTGAAAAAATGTTACTGCTTCAAATTCAATATTATAGAAGACTGTTTGCTTATATATATGATCATTTACTCACCGTTGCACTCATTATACACACACATACTTATAAATATTAAATATAAATTAATTTTGTACAGCACAATGGAAGATTCGTATTTACATGGGCTCACGTTAAAATTAATTAATTGGCAGCTTTTAAATAGTACAACAGATTCACGTAAAACAGCGGATATGTTTATACTTTATGGTAAACCCGAATATCGTACACATTTAGTTTTAACGATTAAAGGGCTTTTCAAGTTTCGGAGTCCGGTACGTCATAACGTAGCCAGTTACTTTGTTAAGGAACTTTCACGCTCGAGAATTAAAAATATTGATAAATAAAATGAGACATATAGAGGTAAGGCGAACATTCTTTGGTCTCAAAAATACTTCAGATCTGGGCTGAGCGCGTTGCTCAATCGTTTTCGAGTATGTCATTGTCTTCGTCTTCCAGAATGATCGTGTTGTGCCTCTCCATGAACAGAGTCTCTTGGCTCAATGCGGGAACCTGTCGAGAGAACTCGCTGGTCGCCCACAGGAACAAGTCCAACGTTTGCTCAGTGCATTCGGCAATAAATCGCACGAACGGTCTCAAGTCACCGGTGTTCGCTATTTGCAAGTTCTCGTAGTACTTGTGGCGGTGTTGCTTGTGAATGATAACAGGTGGGTATCCGGCTTGCATAAGAATCATGTTCATGAGCAAGCGAGACGTTCTGCCATTACCGTCGGCGAACGGATGTATATGTACTAATTTGTAATGTGCGACAGCTGCGTATCTATAAAGACAATTTTTCTAATCGGTATCTTTGAAAAATATCGGTGAAAATATTCAGTGGATCAAGCAGAAAAAATTAGCGAAAAGACGTAAGGATCACTTACTTAACTGGATGCAACCTGATGGCTTGTTCGCTGTTCAACCACATCCCAAACTCCTCCATCAAGTAATGTATGTCTCCCGGGCCTGGAGGTATGTGACCACCGACGTACACCTGAGTCCTACGAAATTGGCCGCCCTCGACAGGATCTACATGGCCCAACACGCGTCTGTGTATCTCCAATATATCTTTTATAGAAATCGAACCTACCCTGAAATTATCAAACATAATCATACAATAAATTACACATATAAATCACCCTTCTCAGACGTGTCTTAAAAACAAAATTGGTATTTTTGTATTGTATTTTTATATCGTCTATCTTAATGCCATTGGTGCAACAGAAACTTACCTATTGACCAAGGTCGCATTGATATATTTCATGGCGGCATCCAATCCAAGAATTTCATTGTGTTCATCGATGCTTTTTCCAGCAACCGCGGTACGTGTCTCTACTATAGCTCTTGTCTGTGCTAAGTTCATGGTATTCCCCTCGATCCCGACTGTGTGATAAATATGTTGGAAGTAAGCCTCCTTCTTGGCGCGTATCAGTGCAGCATTGTGATCAGGTATCGTGGACAGCGCGTTCCTCTTTTCGTCGATGCGCCTGAGCATCCTCCTGTCAAGTTCCTCGACTACGCGAGCTGTCCTTTGGCTGTTCATTAAAGCACTTTCATGATTCGGCTCATAAGTTAAAGCGCGTACGTAAAATTCATTGGCTTTAATCACATTGTTCTGAGTGTGCTCTAGAAATTCCCCGTAATGATTTAGAACGTCTGGATGATGCGGTGCCAATGCCATTGCATGTTGAAACAACTTTATAGCTTTCTTCTGCTTGCCGGATGATTTCATCTCTATAGCTAAGTGCAAGGATGTCAATGCCTCTGCCGTCGATGTTTCAGTATTCTGAACCTGCAGTTTGTCGAGTTCAGTGTTGCCTAATGCAAGACTGAGAGTATATTCTTTGTTTGATATGCCATCCGAAGGAAGCGGTATAAATACATGGTGAAACTCTTGCTCTGGAAAAAATAACGATCGTGACGGAGCACACTTTGATCTTGGTTGTTCTCAGGAGAATCTAGATCACTAGGACACCACAGAAAACTATGTTTCTGTTACGAAATATTGCAGGTGATTTTTATTCCAGACAATATCACGACAAACGACACGCACGACGTGTGCTGAGAAAACTAGTACGATCCATACGTTAATTTGTACATACTTGAAAAATCAGTGGACAAGTTGAATATATACTGCAACAGTAACGTGCAAGTAACAGCGACCACAATCCCGGAGATGAAGACAAAGGACACGAGGCGATTCGGTGTCATAGCGTCGTCTGTCACATCCTTCCGCTTGACGTTCACGTGAAAGGTTTTTGTACAGTACATAATATAAGGCTCGTATATGCACGCCGATAGCATTTTTCCTCACGTCGACTCTTCGGGGACACACTTTCGACAACGAACTCTGACATGTTTGACGATCATATGCGATACAACGCGCTTGTGATATGACGTAAGCGCCCCTGGCGGCCGAAGCGTTGTGAGCAGGCTATGTGGTTCATTCTGATTGGTGGAATTCGTGTCGATCCTCTTCGCGCGGATTCCGTCGTTCCCGTTTCCCACCTTTCCGCCTTTCCGCCTAATGGCTGACTGAAGGCTCAATAGGAGCTCCGATGAAAAACGCGGCGTACTCGAAAATTATGGTATGATTTTCCCAAATTTACGTCCTATACTGATCCTCGACCTATTTCTCGAGTGATTTTACAAAAATTTTACGATATTTCTCGATATATTGATGAGATTCTCAAAACATTAAGGCGTGTCGGTAGTCGAGTACAGTAACGGTCGTTTGCCCAGTTATGGTAGCGAAACTTCAGTTGGTTGAACTGTACGTTTTCGACTTGCTGAGGGAATCTCGTACACGAGTTACCGCCGAAAGTAAATTTCGCGAAATTTTGCGTGGCGAAATATTGTTAAATGTCGCTGAAAATGAACATTTCGGGTAGCAGTCGGCGGAGTATCAAGAGAAGTTGGCGCGCTTGAATCTTCGAATATCTCAATCCTGCGATTCGTGAGTCGGCCATGGTGTGAGTTACGATCCGGTCAGTCCGTTCGGATTCATGAAGTTTTATCGTATTTCTCGTGATTCTGACTCGTCAAAGACCAGCTTCGCGCGTGACTGTCATCGGGAGTGCCGAAAGTAAGTTTCGTGCGTTTGTCGTGGTGATGTGTCGCGTTCGACAGTTCGAAAGCGAATATCTCGCGAAACGGGTAATCGGGAGTGCCGAACAAACGATTGCGTGTCCGTTTTAATGGCGATTTCGACAAATCGCTACCCTCCGTGCCTTCGAACGGAACGGTCTCGCGCAGGAAATATTGCTGGGAATGTCGAACAAATCGTCGGAGTTCAAATAGATGCATCCTGGACTTTTCGTCCGTCGAGGGAGAAGTCAGTAAGTACCGACATGGCAGATATTAAATCAGTTCTTGCATACCACATAGTCGGTAATTTCAGCAGTCGGTAATTTCTACAGTCGGTAATATTCTTTAGTTATCCTCGGATTTTCCGAGTTTCGTTGGTAATGACGAGACTTTATCTAAGACTGATGGTATTTAATATTTATCTTTAAATTTTACAATTAGATGCATTAACGTCGTCCAGTGTGTTTATGTATGCAAAGTGGCTTTATATAATTTTTACATAACTCTTTCGTTTTTTCACAAAACAAAAGTTCAAAATAATTTTGTCCACAAAAAGAAAAAGATTTCGCAGTAATCATAATTGAACATCCTATTAACTAATGTCAATGCGAGAAAATACGTTTCTTAAACATTACAGAGAAACTTGGCTACTGAGGATAAACGCACTGGGACACATTAATATTCCAATTGTATCTCGTCGATTATTGAGGTTTATGATCTTTTTAAACTGCATATTTGCTTATTAATTATATGTGCGTACATTATTATACATTACATATATATGATATACGTGTATGAGATACATGAAACACAATATAGAACAAGTTTTCAATAAAATTAATTTAGTTCTATGACAGAGACGAGATAGTTGATATTTTTTAATTGACGATAGACGTAGGTAAACAAATGATTTAACGAAGTTAATCACCGATGTCTCAACAAACATGCATTTTAACGAGAGTATTATTTGTCAGAAAATGCGAAGATCATAGTAATGTTTAATTGTTCGAAAAATATTCCGAGTTTCACGTATCTCTTCTTATTCTCGCACTTCCAACTCGAAACCGCCATGAGGGAGCAGTAAGCATTTTTTTGTGAGTTTCCTGAAAAAATATGATAAATATATCGTAAAAAAAGTTTAAAACGGAGCACTCGCGTTGAATGAAACGCGACGGTTTCGTGAGCATTGCTTCTCCAAACGACACAATTTCATCGGGATTCGAATACTTACTCCGATTCGAGAGGCAGGCATGCTTTCACTGCTAATGCGTGAATTCGTTCGTAAAGTCGATGATATCATATCGCGATTGACTTCGAAGATTCTCGAGTTCCCTCCGATTTTTCCCGCCCTTTTGGAATCGGTACAGGATACGAAATTTTGTATTTTGTCTCTGTTAATAAACAAACAATCCCTTCAATGCGCGCGTACACAAAAGAAGTGTTGCATTTTTTGCTTTCTCGAGAACGTGCCTGTGTAAACGTTGTTCCGAGATCCTGTTGTCCTGAATCTTCATAATTTGCGGTATACGATATTGTTGGTGCGATAAGGACACATTCGCGGTAGTCACGTCGCAGCGATTCCTCTGGAAAGAAAAAGAAACACGAGAAATTAACAATTAACCGCGGGAAATTTGCACGATCATTATGATCGTAATCGCCGGGATCGGAGCGGTGATAAGGGGAGGCGAAATTTTACAGTGGAATTTCTCCGTTCCTCGGAAGAGCGATTTCCGTTTCCGGAGCGGCATCGCCAGTTCCATGTCGTGGAACCGTGTAATGAGGATTTCTTGACCGATCGATCTTGCACCTGGCCGTGTCGCATGACGACCACGCGATCGACATTGTAAGAATCTCTGGATGTACCGTTTCGAAAATTACCCCTCGTCGTTCTGCATCGAAAGTAAAAAAGTCGTAATGAGCAAATATCACGATAATTGCATAGTTTTGCTTGACTGTTTCATCGGACTTCGTCCACATTTTTCGAGAAAGTTCACGTTTCCGTAGCTCGTCTCTCGAGAAACTCTTCTTCGGAAATTATTCCTCGAAAGACTCTTATCTAAATTGTGTCTCGTGCATTTAATGAGCATACCTGATAGTCACGCTCGACGATGGCGCGTCCTCAGTTTGGCACGTGGAACTTCGAAGAAGTCGCGGTGCTAATTCGCAAGTTGCAACAGCAGCAGCTGTTTCATGCAACTTGTGAACTCTGGCGAAAACAAATAAATCACGTGAATATAAATAAGAATATAATATCAAATTTTAAAGTAACGAATAAAATAATAAATACTTCAAAATAATGAATATATAAACGTAGATGTAATAAAATATAAATATGTTTGTAAATATGGAGTAATTACACGACGCGGAAGAACTTGGTCGTGAAACTGACATCTTATCTTTCGCATCGATTACGGTATTCCTCTTACTTTATATTATATATGCCGCCGATTTCCCCGTATTTTCGTCTCATTATTTCAGCCTCGACAGTAGCCGCGGTCGTTCGCATGGACGTCGCAATCTCGTTCACTATCTACAATAATCGGCGATGCAATCACTTTGCACGGCATTTCGTATGGCGTTACTAATTGGCGCATGTCTTAAGGCTGAAAAACCGCAAAGTACGCGGTCGTAAAGTCGAAAATTCATATGATCATGCGAGCGGGACACCACGTATTAAAAATAAGAACGAGACGCGTAGGTTCATTGATGTTTCATTGATGTTGAACAATTAATTATCATCGATAACGAAGTTATATCGGAAACGATCGAAACGTTTTCTGCAGTAAACCTTTCTGCGGTAAACCATGAATATATTTTATAATATGTTATTATATATATCATGAAAATATTCCTTTTGAGATAGCTATTATTTAAAAGAAAAGAAATAAACTGAGTAATTTCTTTTTCCACAGTACAATAGTTGTTTTCTGTGTATTGTGTTGTAGAATTGAAAGTTTAATATAAGACGAAAATTTTAACTCGAGAATGGATGAAAAAGTTTGAAAATTTTCCTCGCTGTGTTGATCTTGATGTTTACTTTCACGCGCGCGCTTAGCGGTCAAGGTCTGTGTCTTATGTTTACTATGAAAAAACGCCGTAAGAAATTCCGTTTCGCCGGAGCGACGGTCGCCGAAATATAGTGTAACATTACCGCGACGTGATCGGACGTTTTCAAATCCTTGTCGAAGCGAGCGGGAAAATTGCGTTTCGACGGCGTGAGGATCCACGGATGCTCGAAGATCTCTCGAATGGTGATCCTCTCGTGGGCCGTCGGTATGAGCAGACGGTTTATCAGACTTTTGCACTCGGTTGACGTCTCAGACAGAGCCTTCTCCTGCGTCGACGTCAGGCCTCTATTGATCTGGATCATTAGTCTTCGTCGACGTTTCTCCGACGACGTACACTCGTCACGTGGACACAGAAACGGCAATCGGCCGGTGATCATTCCGTACAAGACGACTCCGCTGCTCATCGTATTTCTCGTTTTTAACAAACTGCTCGGCCAAATGACGGTAGACTAACTACTATAACTACGTAACGACCACTCACACGCGCGGCAATTGCCTTTAAGGCGTTAAAACAAGCTCGAATAATACAGTAAAAAACTTTGTGTTAAATTTATACATATTTCACGTGTCTCAAACGGCCCACATCAGTTTTTTATGTTGACACAAGTTGAATATGTTGAAAAGTAATACAAATATTATGTCAAAAATTAACATAAAATTATATGATATCCATATGTTAATCGATGCTAAAGTATAAAACCTGTTATTTTAACACTCACATGTTGAACATCGATTCAACATAAAATATCGAGATAACACAATATGTTAAATTAACATACGGGTATGTTAAAAATTTAATATAAGTTTTTTTTAACAAGCACTGATTTTAACACAAGTTCAAAGTGGTTTTAGCTGTGAGTAATCTAGTGTGTTAATTAGTGACACGTTCTGTGCGTTTCGTGACTTGAACTCGGTGGATGTGTTACTTACAGACTCCACAAGTCTACCTCCGGACCATATCGTTTACCTACGACAAAGAGCTCGGGAGCTGCATACTCCGGGGAGCCGCAGTGTGTTCGCAGAGGATCGTCGCTGGTGTAAATGTTGCTGAGCCCGAAATCTACGATCGCACACGAAAGACACCTGTCATCGAAACGGTAAGTGCTTTCCACGATAAGACTGTCGAACCTTCGACCGCTTCGACCTTCGCTATTGAAAATTTCAATAGCGCTGCCATCGTAGCCACATCGGATCCCGATGTTTATGTAACGAATGTCTCCGGAATAATATTCCGAGCGGTGAAAAATCGGCGAGGATAAAACCGACGTTATTTCGTCCTTGTTTCGACTTTTATTTCAATTTTACCAGAGCTCGCGAAAGGTTTACACACGCGAGATAAGGAATCGCGAAGTGTTTCGCATTGGTGTTCGCAGGCTTTTGCAAAATATCTACATCGAGATCGGTCGAGACTTGACCGCCATGCAGCAGCGGTCGAGAGGGGAAGGGGGGGGGGGGCTATGAAAAACAACAGGGCATTATGTTCTCGGTGCGTAATTATACGAGTTGCAGCACCAATTTTATCGCGGGTGCAATTTTTTATGCGGATTTTTGCCGGACTCGGGCGGATCTGATTTCACGCTCGAAAATCTCGAACGTCACGCGAGCAGGCGCATTACAGTCCTGATTTTCGCGGTGTGCACGCTAATCTGCGCGGCTCGATCGATGGCGATTGTAATGGCAATCGCCACGGCCGTAACGTTCTTTCGCGTCCCAAGCGAAGCACGTCGTCCGCTAGTGCACACGTGCGCGTGTATATGTGTATCTGCCTCTCACCCACTATCTTGATCTGTTCCTTGCGCTCGTCCTGCAGCACGATGTTCTCCATTTTGAGATCTCTGCAACAGAATCGTTTCACGTCGATTCGTTTTTCCGTTTTTTTTTTTTCACACGATTTTATACACTATTTCTTTACACAGTGGAAGATATGGTTCTACACGGGAAAAGTTTAGTTTTATTATATACTAGGAAGGGAACAACTAGATGCATTTTGGTTGAAGGAAACAGAATTTCTGATTATAAGAATCACATTTGAGTCGTAAGAGCCAGAAATTCTGTTTCCTTCAACCAGAACGCATCTGGTTGTTCCGTTTCTGATTAACGCAATCAGATTTTCTTTCCGAATATATTTGTATAATTTTTTAAAAGCTGGGAAAAAATCGGATTTTTTCCTATTTTTCCACGAATTTCTCCTGTTTCTGTCTGAAAGATAGAATAATTCGTTTGTAAAAATTCATATGTATTCGGTTAAAACCTGCCACATTTACTTTTTTCCGTAAAGAGGATAAGAGACCGAAATAATCCGCGAGAAAATTGGGAATATATCGGTTTTTTGCGAACCTTCAACATGGAACCTATAGTTCCATGCGCGAAGAGAAAAGATAGATTGAATTAATGTGACAATAATTCCTGAGTCGAGATCGAAGTCCTACATTAAGTATCAAATGGAGAAAATAACTGGAGGCAATAACTTCCCACTTGTAACATCAGAGGAGCGCTATAGTACTCCTCCTGCCGTTTTCTCCACTTAAGGCTTAATGTAGAATTTAAATGTCGATTCAGGAGCGAACGAATCGAATGCGTTAAAACAGAATTTCTGATTCTTAGAACCCGACATTTTATTTCCTTCAATGCGCACCCGGTTCGTTCATTTGCCGCGTTAATCCAACCAGTCTTTTTCCTCCGCGCGTGAATGCAAAAACACATATCCCGCATGGTCGGCGGTATTATTCTAACGATCTCGCGATTACGATTTTTTCACAAGTTAATCCGACGTGTGTACCGCCGACGACGGGGCCGAGGCGACCGATCGCGCGACTAGACCGGTGATTGCGCGGGTGCATGCGAGAAAAAGTCCGGGTCGTGCATATGCAAGCGCACGACGCCCATGGGCAACATGCGTGTGCAGTTTGCGATCACGTAGCGCGTTCGCGAGATTAACGCTCTCGGCGCAAGAACCTCTCGTGGCCCTGACCATCGCGCGAAGGTTCCTTTGCTCGTATCGCCGTCTACGAGCGCAACTCGCGGATCTTGCAAATTGTCGTTTCGTCGACGCGACGAAACCGCGTCGTGACGTGCACGATGGTGTCGAGTTCCCTCAATTTATCGAGCTCGTATGCAACCACGCCGAGTCGGGGCTTATAGACCGCCGAAATTTCACGCGCACGTGTCTTTCCGCGTGCGAACTATATGTTCCCTCGGTCTGGATTTATCGCGAATTTCTCGTCAGCAACGGCGTTGTGAAAATAAATCACACGCGAATAAGAGATCGCGTTCGCGGGGCGTCCGTTTGAAAATAAATAGCGCACGATGGAAGAGGTGATCTCTCATTTCCGCGCGGTGAACGTTTCCCTGACGCTCGCGATAGAGTGGATAGTCGCGAAAACGTCGTTTCCCCAAACGGAAGAGACGAGACGAGCGGTGCTAACATTAGTTGAGAGAGAGAGAGAGAGACGCTTCATGCGCACACAAAGTGCGGGAGAATCGGCGCGTTTAGCTCAAGCGTTCTCCAATTATGGAAGCGTCGATAGCGGGATGATAGCTTCTATCTGAGGCCCAGCTGTCACCGGGATCAGGCGGCAACGGCCCTGTAGCTTATCCGTGGCAGAGACCTTGGGACCTTGAAACGCATCATTAAAATCGCATCGCCGCGTGCGCTCATGAGAGAGAAAGAGAAAACGAGATAGAGGGAGAGAACGAGAGAGAAGCCAGTGTGCGCTTTGGGTGTCGCTAATAAGTAATAAAAGAGGACTCGCTCCTCGGAACACGTGCCCGCGGCGAGGTTAATACCGTCGCGGGATGCGAGGCGCGCCGGGGTCGTTACTCGTTGGCGGAATCTAGAACGTCCGGCATTTTTCTTTCTTTGCCGGTCCGCCGCCGGTCCGCGCCTTTCGTCGAATTTCGATTCGCGATCCAAGTCCGAGGACCAAGCGGCGATAACAATGACGAGTTCGAGACGGAACCGTTCCTTCGAGTTCGCTCGTCCGATGTTAATTTAATGCTGGAAAAATGATTTGGTAACGGTTAAATGGTTTCAACTAAATTGTTTGGTTACTGCAAATCATTTAGTATTATATACCATACGCAATATATTAAATGATTTAGCTGCAGCAACCAATTTAGTTGAAACTATTTGGCCAAATCTTGACAATTGTTACCAAATCCTTTTTTCAACGAATAAACCGGTCGATTCGCTCGTTCGTCAGCCGTGCGGCGATCACGTCCCGTTCGTAATCGGAAATTACGGGAAGATCGTGTCACAAATGTAAAAGATCGACGCAAGGAAGCATCGAAATACCGGGGGCAAATGTAGCGAGAGGTAGCTGCAGGTAGCTAAAATACAGTCAACCCGATATCGAGGTATATCGCAAGTATCTTGGCTAGTTTCGAGCGAAGGCATCGTGCGTCGAGCGATGTGCTTTTGCTGCATCCTCGACTGCGGGATAATAGTCGAAACGACCCTGAAGCCGAGGCCACGGTTGTCCGTTGGCCTGGGCGATTACGTTTCTTTTACATCGTCGTAGAAGCCGCGCAGCCCGAGAGAGAACGCGCGCGTTCACCGCGAACTTTCGCGACAAATCGCGCGAGATCCGATTAAAGCTCGCGCATTCCCGTTCTTTCTTACTCTTTCTATGCAACTATCTCCCTCCCTTCCTCCTTCCTTCCCTCTCTCTCTCTCTCTTTCTTTCGCGCACGTGCGCTTGTCCCGTACGCGCTCGCAATCGCGAGAGCATAATTGCCGGTGTAAAGCGACAGGTGGTCGCGGACATGATAAAAAATAAGAAGAGAAGCGAAAAATAAAATATGCCCCGCACGCCGGCGCCGTTAACGATCATCGTTCGTCCCTCCTCTCGCCACTTCTCGCTTTGAAAATAAACTCGCGCGGCCCGTGACAAAAGTGATCGATGAACGCGACGATCCAGATATCCCCGCTGATCCACGACGACGGGCGCGCGATTGGAGATGCGCTCGGGTATGGTAAGATGGAGCCACGAGTCGCATTCGTGAGGGATTCACGTTCGCCGCATTCGTCGCGAGAGACGCTCTCGCAAAGAAAAAGAAAACCGAGCTGTTTTTGACGCGAGACTTAATCTTTCAGCGTTTGACGCGGAATTACGTCCGATAGCGTCGCAAGTTGATGCGCCGCTTAAATAATTCGAAATTTCGTTCATTTCGGGGAAAGAAATTGTCGCGGGTCTACCTATATTGTTAACCAAATCTGTTGCCAAAGTTGGAGGTACACGTTGAAATAAAAATCCTACGTAATTATGAAGGACACGTATTTCGAATTTTGACATACCTCCAAATTCGACGTACCTCGTAATATCCCTCGTAATTACGTAGGGCTTTTATTTCAACGTGTACTTCTAACTTCGACGATATATAGTTAACAGTGTATTCTCCGAGCTATGCAAATACCTCGCGGATTCGTTTACTAATTAATAGTTCTATGCCGTTTTTGCTCGCGCGTAATTGATAACATCATTTATTCTAAACGCTCTCGCCAGTCGCGCTCGTCTCCTCACGCTCGTAAACTTTTGAGTCATACGCCCGATGCATTCGCGATGCATTCGCGATGCACTCGCTCGACTTGCGAGCAAACGCGCGTGCGCATCCGTAAGTACTTAAATTTAATTGCCGGCCATGACCGTTACATCGCGCGGTAGTTATTTCGGTCTTAATAACCCGGGCCCGACGCTGTCGCTCAGTTGAGCGGGGTCATGTCCGTGTTACGAGTCGCGAAGTCGCCACGAAAACCGGCAAGGTCGAGAGAGAGAGAGAGAGAGACGCGCGGATTCGTCGTATTGGCTCGAGAGGAGAGAAGACGCGCGAGCGAGCGAGCGAGCGAGCGATTTATGTCTCTGCCCGTGCATAAATATTCGACGCGCGGCGCCACATTGATACGCACGCGCCGCGGAATAATAGATAACGAGATATTTGGGATGCGACGCTCGAGGCGAGGTTTTAATAAACCGTCCGATGCGCCTGGACCAGGCCGATAAACCGGTTCGCGTAAGCGTGACGCGTGCGGAAAATAATCCGAGGAGTTCGGCGGAAAAAGCATGTAAACATGCTTACACCTTCTCGCGTGTCACATGTATTATTCGCGGATTATACGCGCTTGGAACGTACGATGCATCCTGGAGGAGAGACGTGTCTCTCAATATATTAATTTTAAGGAGATGTTCTTTGCGAATTTCGATCTTTCGTCCGAACCGTCGAGCGGGTTCATTGCTCTCTCTCTCTCTCTCTCTCTCGTTTCAGTCTAATATCCAAGATTAAATCAACAAACGTGCCGCATAAAGTATCACCTGTACACTTAGCACTTGAATTTTGACGTATGCGTCCACATGTAAGATGCTTAAGTCTGTATCTATAATTATTCGCGGATTATTCGGGACATGAAGCGCGTTCTTGAGGAGAGATTCTTAATTTTGAAGTTCTTCGCTAATTTCGGTCTTTCGTTCGAAACGTCGAGCGGGTTCACCGTTCTCTTCCTCTCTCTCTCTTTCTCTCTCTCTCTCTCTCTCTCTCTCGTTACATTTTAATATCCAAGATCAGATTGCGATATGTGTTACATAAAATATCGAATGTGTATGCACTCAGCATTCGAATTTCGACATGCTTTTCCACATTTCAAATACTTAAGCCCGTGTCTATAATTGTAGTTTGAGTCTTATTTGACACGAGATAGTCAGATCCCAGTTTGGAGCTGAGTGCTCTTCAATTGCATCACACGACATTCATATCGCGTGACGTTGTATTTGCGATCGTGTGATTCAACTGAAAAACTCAGAGAGCTAATTCTAAACTGTGATCTGAATACCTCGCGTGAGAG